ACCATTCTTTCAGTTTTAAAGGAAAGAGGTGCAGAGCTTCTTACAGAATCTTATGGCTTAACAACCTGAAGTCAGTGCTCTTACTGATGGATTCAAGGGCCCATCTGAATGAAGCCACAGCACCTGTGCTACAAACCATGGCAGTTTTTGTCCTCACAGACCTTTATTTCCTGCATCTTGCTTCATTAAATGTACCAAACAACACTTAAAAAAAAAAATCGACCAGTTCCTGTGTACTGTACTCTTACTCCCCCAAAATTTCCCATTGCTTCTTCTCCATTAATGTTTTAGCCTCTTTGTTTTCCTTTTGCCCTGCTATTTGTACCTCTGGTGATGCTTTCCTCATGCATATGTGATATGGTTTTACAGCACCTGGTTAGTAATAATTCTTTCTAAACTCTCACAAGCTGATTTTCTTTGTTGCTTCTTTCCTGTACTAGAGGGTTACCTTTTTCTTATCACTCTGTCCTATTAATAATGCCAATTAACCTATTATTATTATTTGGCCAATTAAAGCCAAATTGTCAAGCATTGCTATGATTTACAAAGCTGTGTACATGATATGCATAGCCAGCTATCTATTCATTCTCTTCATCAACAGTAAGAAGGTTATCTGTGAGATTAAAAAAAAAAAAGAAAAAAAAAAAGAAGTTCTCAAATTGAGTAATCAAAGTAATCAAGATCACCAATACATCCACTGGGGCCAGATGATTAATCTTGTTTCTGAACTGAACTGTCCAGACTACTACAACAAAAGTCCTCTGTTTCACTGACCCTAATGTTTTATGAAGATTATTATTTTGATAAGGGAGGCTGAGCAAGAGCAGGTGAAACAAAGAAAACCCATATTTTTTAGTCTTTCAGGTGAGAGCAGAAGATGATTCAAATTTGTCGGGTTAAGTGCTAATTCGGTGCCCTACTTCTACAGTTTGGATTTCCCCATTCATTGTCATAAAATAAAAAATGGTTCTAACAATTGCTAGTTTTGGAATTAGTGGGACGGAGAATGATATATTACAGAGTCCCACTGATAGAGTAAATGTACTGCAGGAGCACAAGAGCAGTTGATTTGCTGTCTAGAACACAATTCTAGCTTGGAAAACATTCACACATGAGAGGTGACTGCAAAATGTCAAAACAAACCTAGGACTACTTACAGGAAGGAGTATTAACTTCTTGAAACAGTGACTGCTCTATGATTTTATAACCCCTGTGCTGCTCTGAGCTTTAAGAGGAACAAAACAGGTGAGCTCATTCTTCAGTAATCTCATCTGGATTAAAAAAAATGCTAATCATGTCTAAAAAAATCCCCAAGCACTTATAGGAATGCAGTGATCTCTGTGTCTCCTGAAATGTGGTATTCAAAACTCAGTATGAAAAAGGTGCAAAGCAGCCTTTCACTTGTGTCTGAGTTTGTAACAAAATATGCATTGTTTTATAGGCTAGATATTACATTCACTCTGATATCTGTTATTATTTTACTTTTCCATTGAGATATTAGACTTCTGCCCTGTTATTTTTTAAATATACTGCATAAAACATATAGAAAGAGGCTGAAGTTCTCCAGAGCTTTACATAAATTACTGCTTCCCTCTATCGAAGAATTGCATTCACATCACAATCTTGATTTGTATTGCCCTGTATTTTAAAAGGTGCACTTGTGATACATAGTTTTAACACGACAGCAGTAATAACATTCCCTTCAGATCTCAAAAAGGGATTCAGTCAAATCAAAGCCTGAAACCATTAGGTACCTTCCATGGTAGGTAACATGCCACCAACCAACGCCAGAATAAAATTATGCCATGCAGGTAAATGCTATGGTCTTCTTAGGGACTTTAACACACAATTTGTTTCATCTGGGGTGAAAGCAATGAAAACAAGAAGATGTGACAGGGTTATTTAAATCATGACAGTTGCTGGAATCTGTAAATGTAATACAGATTGATGCACATATTCACCACAGCATTGTGGGATATAGACAAATACAAAGATCGTTCTGAAGTTACTGAGCAGCGTGGCAGGAGGAAAAAAAACCTGTTTCATGTTACCATTCTAATACGGACCATGAAGACATCAAAGGCAGAAGCTGAAAACCCCACATACAATGCTGCATACCCTATATCCAGCAATTAGTGTGATATATACCCAGGTAATGGCTGTCTTCTAGCAATGTCTTTTTCATCTCTGTTCCTGTTAAAAAAATTAGATTTTACTTGAGGTCAAATGCTCTACCTTTATTTGATTAATTAGAAAAAGGAAATCTTTAGGAATTAGCCATTCAAAATTGACCTTGATTTTGGGTTTCATTGTACAGTGGCTATAATTCATTTTTACAGTAGTAAAGCCTACACACTTGGACCTTGTTATTTAGATTTTTAAAGTAATCCACACTAAGTCTACTTTTATAGACATCCCAATGTTCTCCAAATACTGCAATTCCCTTGTATAAAGTAGCTGAAAATGAAGTATTACTCACTTCAGCATCAGATCATTGGCAGAACATACACAATGTTCAAAGTTATTACTGCACTCTCAACTCTCCTTTTCACTGAGGCTGATCTTCCAACACATGGGGGTCACACCTGGAAGCTGCAACTGAACTTCAGAGCTCCTCACAGACCTCTTTACTAGCTCATGGCCATCTGAGAACCTCTGCATTAACAAAAAAAATCTGCCTATGCTTACAAACATGATTAAACCAACATTTCTCATGTAGCCTTCTCCTCCTTTCACTTTTCAACTTGTAGCAGATTAGCCACTATACCCTTCATCACTAATTTTGACCTTGAAATTTACAGAATCTGGTAAAGTACCTGTTCTATAACTGTCCAAGTGTACCTTCTGCTTCTTCCATAATCAGGAGTTACCTTCTGATTCCCTAGGTGGACCATATAGTTTGTGGGTAAATCAGAATTTCTCTTTTAGAGTGACATTTAGTCTTAAACCTAAAAGAAAAATCAACAGCCTCCCCTTTGGTAAACCACTTAAAAATTATATATCCTCAGTGTCAAAAGACTGAGACACACATTCAGTTTGAATTTATGAAGCATCCATTTTTTTAATGCAAAAAACCAAAGTTTCTTAAAGAAACAGAGTTTGTGGAAAGACTCTGACTATTTATGCTACATATACTGGATCACTACCAATACAGTATTTGACAGTATTTTTCAGTATTATATGCTTCCATAAATGTTAAATCAGACTAAGCAAAGCAGTGTGACAGCTGCCATTCTACATTTTTACGTGTTAATCCCAGTTTTTCTTAACATACAAACTTTTCTCATGTATTTCTAAATAGTTATTTAAAAGACTATTTTCTATATTGTTATTTTAAAGACGTGAATATATTACCAGAGATACGTTTACAGACTGACTGAAAAACCTTCTCAGTGACATTTGTACCTCATCTTCCCACAATGGTTACTGTTTCATTTACCATTCTAACACATTAAGAACAATGAACAGAAAAACCCAAATATTCCCCAAGTCAAAAATAACTAACCAAAAAGCTACCAATTTTTTCTGTCTCAGAACAACTGCTTCAAATGCTTTTCTTTCAGCATTAAAATCCTGGCACCTCAAATTGTTTATGATGAAATGCAAAGAAAGGCAAACCTATGTGATTTTAAGAATCAGAGTCATTTAAGAAAGTAAGACATTTCTTCAAAAAATAAAATTTACATTTCAAATATAGCCAGCTTTGTAAAACTGTCTAGAGCTTCCTGTATGAAACCAGAGGATCTGTCCTGCTATAGCATTCAAGCAGCTCTCTCCTGCTGTACAACTGAGGAAGAATGTTCACATATTCTCTTTTTCAAACTTTCTATAGAGAAATAATTTTTACAGTTCTGCTTTCAAGAAATCTGTCCGACAGAATCTTCTTGGAAAAAAAAGAAAAAAAGGAAAACAAGACAAGCTGCCTTTTGGTTCAGCTGTTCATGTGACAAGAAGAAAAATATAAAGATTATTCTTATCAAAACAGAGGTTATTTGGCTCCATTACCTACCAGGTTCTACCAGCATTATTAGTATTAATTCAGATTCAGTGCAAGGATTTTGTTGATTTTTGCAAATCAACAAAATCCTCTTTTAAGCAAGTAAACAGATGTCCCTGGTAATGTTATATTCAAGTGAAAGAAGTTGTACAGACTGTGGGGGGAAAACCACCTGAAACATTCCAAAAAGTTACTGTTTTCACTAAATACAAAATGCGTAGGTCACCTTATCGATTGCTTTTGTGGTGGGGCTTTTTAAGTTGTTTTTCTCAGCCATACTGGATTTTGTGTAACTATGAAACATCTATTCTAAGAAATCCAACATACAATCCCACCACTGCCCTGTTCCCTCATCTGTATAAATGCTCTTTTGTATATAGGCACTTTCAGGAAATTTCCCTCCTCCTCCCCGCTATACGAATCGCTCTCACCCCCCTCCTCCCACACCCCCCCCCCCCCGCCCCCGATCAACACCAGGGAATAATTGCATTTTTGTTGGAGCACATCCAGCCCCTCCACGCGTTCCAGTCCAGGAGCAGCAGTACGCTGTACCTTTGGCACTCTCCTCTGTTTTAACACGCACACATACGAACACTCATCCGCAAGGAACTAAGTGGCATCAACCTTATTCCCAAAATACTGACCTTTCACGTCTCCCCATGCAACTTCCTCTTTTGCTGAAAAATACAGTGCTTCCAAATTAAAGAAATCTTCCTCTTTCGACATTTGACTACCAGCGTTTTGAAACAGTTTCTTACACTTAACTGTACTCCACGTGTGAGCAAATTAACCACTGCCGAGACAGACAGATACCCCTCGGGTGCCAACACTTCGGTCACTTCATATCCTGCAAAATCGCCAGAACTTCTAACACTTTTGCAAAGGCCTTTTCCCCTCCCCTCGGAACACCCGAAAGCTGAACAGAGCAGAAAGTCTCCTCCATGCTCAGAGAAGCAGCGTGCGTGTTTCCTTTCCTGCGAAAACAAACATTTAAGAACCGTACCTTCCTTGGGTTCATCGGCTTCCGAACTCATGGTGGCAGGCAAGGCTCTAGGGACCAGATTAACGCTGACGTGCGCGCTGAGATGCAGCCGCAAGTCAACTTCTCTCCCTCTCCCTTTCTCTCTCTCTCAGAAGGGGGGGGGGGGGGGGGGGGAGAAGGAAAAAAAAAAAAAAAAAAAGAGAGAGACGGTTGGGGTTTTGAGGGGAAAAGTCTACGAATTCAGCAAATCACAACTAACCAACTTGAAAAGGATCCCACCCCTTTCTCAGCTGCTCACAGTGGCTGAAAGAAACCAGCACCTTCAGAGAAACCCGGATTTTACTCCGCAGCTGTTGCCGTTTATGAAGCTTACGCTCCCCAGTCTGTAGGAAGGGTGGAGTTTTCACTTGTTGCAGCTTGCCAACGTGGTATGAGAAAGCAAGGAGGAGAGGCCAAAAAAGCCCCGAGTTCAGAGCAGTGTCTGATTTCCATGACTGACAATCACACTGGGGCTCCCTTAACTTGCAGGAAAATCTATTTTATATCGTTTTGGTTTTAAGCCTAAATTGTACATTTTAACACTGTTTGCTATCTGGAATTACTTCTGCAGCCTCCGTAATTGCACTGACTAATTCTGGATGACTTAATAGGTGCTTTAAGATGAGAAGTAACAACCTTCTTTCAGGTAGTTAGGCAAAATAGTTTCCTTTCACTCATGCTCAGTGCATGGTGCCATCTGGATCTGAATTCTTTGTCCTACAGTTTCCAGAAAAGATTGAACACGATACAGTTTTACAGCAAGGGGTCAGGGGTCTTTAGCAGCCACCTCCCAGTTCGCGATGCATCACACATGCATACAGGGCAAAATCAGGGGAATTACTTGGAAGGCTGTTCTCAGCACAGCCTCCGGTAAAATCATTGTCCTAGGAAACCTTCTTTCCCTACTTGCTCATTTAATGGGTTTTTAGCACAGCGAACAGGACAAAACCTCGCTGGAAACATGAGTGCTCTGACAAAAGGAGAGGTGTGGTCCCTCAAGTGAACGCCTGATGGCACTGCCAGTTCCAACATGCAATCAAATTCCCACCTACCTCTCTGTCTCACAGGGTTAAATGTGTGGGCATGAAGGGCTGTCAGGGTCTCCAGGAGGTAACATCATTAACAGCTATTAACAGTTAGCAAATGTCTTACTGGAGTCAAGTAGAAGTAAGTGGTTTTGTATTTCATGGTGAAGTCAGAAAGAGCCAAAGCTGCTAACTGCTCTGCACTGAGGCACAGAGGGAAAAAAAATAAACAGTTCGGATTGTAACATTCCCTTGTACTCGTTAAGGCTTAAACACTCACAAAGATGGGAAGACCAGATATAAGTAGAATGGTCTTGTAAATAACAGATACAGTATGAATTCTTTACCTACAGCAAAGCTGCTCTGTGGATTGGCGTAAATAATACTTCAGAATGTTAGCACTTTTATCCTATTTGCAGTTATTTTATTACAAGGACTGTCCTTTGCATGTACTTCTCCCACACCTAGGAAAGAGAGATTTCATTTTTTTTAAAGGCTTTTGGTGACACTGCCAGTTTCTTCTTTTGTAATACACATAACTCCATGGGTTCCTTAAAGATATACTTTAAGAAGCTAGCTGTCTTCTGCAGGCTTATCATCTCCTGTGGTGTACAACACTGCATTCTTGAAAGCACAGAAAATGACCCTAACTATATCACTGGAATAGCTAAAGAAGTCACATTTTCAAGATTTAAAAAAAAAAAAAAATAAAAAAAAAAATTAAAAGTACTAGTTAAGGGTAATTAGGAGATTAAAACCAATCGAAAAACTTCACACAGAATAGACAAGGAACAGGAAGAAACATAAGGTTAGTTCAGAATAACTGCAATAACCTCTGGGGTCCTTTAATCAAAGGAAGTGTTGTAGAGAAATAGGAATATAAGCCAGCATCAAGATCCCTGCATGATCAGATTTACATATTAGATGGATGGCTTTTGTTATTTTAGATAACAGACAGACACAGAGAGATAATAAGACTTGTGATTAAATGTCAGCAAGTTCTGAAAATTAGGATTTCTCAAATCTCTCAGAAACTTTATACTTCACTGGATAAATAATGAAAAAACAGTGATTTATTTAGTTTTTTCTGTACAAAATCAAAATCACATCTCCTCGTGCTGTTACTCCTGCATACAGGATCTCACTTCAGTCTCAAGAAATTGGTTTTTCTTTCACTTTAGTTGTTAGGCTTCTTAAAAATACATGCACTGGCTGAAAAGACTCTAACCTGGCCAAAGACTGGTTCGGTATGTAATTTTCTGCTCTCAGGTTAAGCAGGAACTTGTATTGGCATACAACAATGGGACATTATCACCTTTTTCAGAGTCTGCACCCAATCAACATTAATTATTTTCCTTAGAAAAGACAGCAATAGTAATGGAATGAGGCAGGTCAAAATTAAGCAGTCTGTGAAAAACACTGGAGTCCGGATAATTGATGACACTACATCTACAGGGAAGTGACATTTATCAAAGTATCCAGATTAATCTGGATTCCATGGTGAGTAAAAAGCCTGGAAACACCCAAAAATTCCTCTTTAATTTTAAACTGTGATTTGGAATAGGAATGACGAAAAAAAGAATGACAAAAATTCCAAAAACATAATTAGTAGGTGCAGCTAAATTCAATAAGAAAGATTCTCTTACAGAAAAGTACCTTCCTACAGTGAAGTCCTAAAACTCACCACACACTTGGCCAGACACTGTCGTGGAGAGAAAGCCAGAATTCCTACAGGAAAATGAAAACAAAAAAAAAAAAAATGGGCTGACATACTTCAGTGGCTAAAAGCCTAAAAGCTTCAAAGTTGGGTAAGACAAGGTTCTTTCAACACTTCTCTGCTGAAAAAAGCATCAAACTTTTGGTTTTACTTTGCAAACAAAAATTAGCTAGTTTTGGTTTGGCTTGGCTTTTAACTCATCATCTGTAAATTGTCCTGACTTCTGCAAAACCCTAAGGGAGGGTCACCATAGCAAGAGCAGATTAAAGCCAAGCCCTGTCTTACTACAGTTGTACATGGGGAATTGTGAAGGGATGGGTCAGACAAACCCCATCCAGCTCAAAACCCTGTTTATTTTTTGTGTCACAATCCATTCTGAGACAGCTCTCTGTACACAAGGATTTGTCCATTAGATACAGAAGTTGCAAATACAGTGATGCATTTTGTAAGTAGAACAGAAATAATAGGCATCTTAGCAGAAAAAAAAAAAAAAAGTACTAAAATTGCTGTCAAGAAGACTCTGAAATGCCAAAAAAGACTATATTTTGTTTCATAAAAAAAGAGGAATCAGCACCACTACCAGAAAAGTATCAGCAAGAAGCTTTCAAAAGGAGGCAGCTGTCACATAAGCAAGACTAAATCCTCTACTGTGAGAAAAAAACCCTGTACAGCTCTAGAACAATTCTAGAGAGAAGGATGTGGTAATGTCCACAACACTTCAGACTTTACACATTCATGGGATTTTTTTAAAAAAACCCCAAACTTCCCCATATTTTGTTAACATAATTAAAGCTTTCTGGTGCATATCTCCTGCTCTTCCAGAATGTTACATTCAATGGTTTGCAGACCTTTAAACAATAAAAAAATAAGATCTATGCCCAACTACAATCCCCTGACACAGATTATAGTCACCAGTCCTTTCCCCTAAGTCAGTGTCTTCTTTAACTGACTGTAACTTACTGAATTACTTGAAGCCACATGACAGACCCTGATAGCAGCTGAGATCTGGATTTCCCACCACACTCCCAATTGTGAGGAAAAGGAAAAGGAAAAGTAAACACTGCATGTGATATGGAATAGGAGGGGCAAAAGAAAGAGTGACAAAAACTCTAAAAACAGAATCAGTAGACACAACAAAAAGTTGTCGGGTAGATTCTCTTACAGAAAACAAAAGTAACCTCCAACAATGAAGGACCTAAAACCCTCAACTCATTTGGACAGATAATGCCCCAGAGGGCAGGTAAGAATTCCTAGAGGAAAAATACAAGGAAAAGTTTTGCCATTTCTCCTTTTAGCTGCAATAAGCTGTTGTACCTATTTCTGACACTAAGAGTTTGGGTCAACAGATTTTCAGCTTCTGAGGCTCTTCAGTGTTTGTGGATTATAGACATATGATTCAGGTTTTCAAACAGGATAAGGAGAACATTGGATACTATCCTGAATCACTCACACATTTTTTTTATGTACACAATTTTCAAAATGTACTGGGGAATTATGTGCCACACTGTAATGCATTTCATAAATTCTCAGGAGTTTGAACTTTTCTCAAACTAATGTTCTGAGAGGGAACAAGATGTAAGATTGTTATATGTAAGTCTAAAACCTAAAAGCAGAAAAAAGGGTATCAACCCTGGTCTGCTGTAGGATACATGTAGGGAATCTCCAAATATGCTGACCTCTCATAAGGGCAACCAGATACTAACACAGTATCTCAGGGAAAAAACATACAAATAATGCTGGGGTTTTTTTCTCATAGAAATAAGAGCAAAAAAAGTCTGGAAGCCACACTGAGATATCATTAAAAATTAACTATAACAACTGCTTCTGCAAGTCATGCCTTAATAACTTGCAGATTTCCCCTGAAAGACCTTTTTATAGAAGTTACTGATTGAGTAAGCAGGCAAAGACGGCACAGAGGTGTGCCCTTGACTTGCTCCTTTACTCCTTTCCTGCATTCCTTCCAGTAGCACTACAACCTTTTCCTCAGGCAGGCAGATCATAATTGCACTGAGTTTCAAAATGCACAGATTTATAAAACAGGAAATATTTTTGTTTTCTAGCACTTCTCTAAAAATTCAGAGTGGTGGGTGAGCTCTCAGAGGACTGAGATCTTGCAGCACAAAAGCAGGATCTGCTGCCTCTTCCAGCACTGTCCATCTCCTCTCCCAGGATGCAGAAATCCACCTGCCAAGCTCTCAGGTGCCCAAGGTGCAGTGCTGATTTCCAGTCTGTGCCCTCTGCTGATGCCACACACAGGCACGAGGCTGCACACGACATCGCGTGTGCAGGATGGGGCATGGGGAGAGTGTGGACAGAGTGGTAGTGTCACAGAAAAAAAAATGAAGTTTCAAGCTTTCTTGCTGAAACAAAGAATTGTATTATGCCCACTTTATCTAAGTTGTTCTGCTTTAAGTTATGCACTTAAACAGTTGCAAACAGACCAAGCAAACTAGGCAAGCCAAGAAGTTTATTTTAAAGTTATTTCCTGACACAGAGGTAAAGCAACACCATCTGTAGCTGTATTACTTCTACTATTGCAAAAGAAAGTGCAATATGCACTGTCTGTGAGGTGTGAGCACAGCAAAAACAAATTCCAAC